AAGTTGCTTCACGTTATTATCTTGCGTTTGAAAGCCCTATTTGAATATTGCGGGCAGCTGTATGTGGCCAGCTGTGTTTGATGGTACGTTACGGTACGGGAGACGGTGTCGTATTACCCTCGATCGTACCTGTCCCGTACCTATCCCCTACCGTACCGTGCCATCAAAGACGGCTAGCTGGCCACAATGCATATTATAGCAATAAAAACTGCTTTATGGCAGTTTTCTAAAAAAAGTGATTGTGTTCTAGTCCATGGACCCCGTCTAAAAAGTAAGAAATTAACGAAATGTGATAGCTGAAAATTAAAATTTCACACAAAACCTCACAATAATCACAACACTTGAAATGCTGCTTTCAACACTAAACTTGTACTGCACCAACAATTGGCAACATGCATGCATAGGAAAGAGGATCACGAGGGGAAAAGGTCTTCTGCATGTAGCTTTTCATTCTGTGTGTGATTATTGTGAGGTTTTGTGTGAAATTTTAATTTTCAGCTATCACATTTCGTTAATTTCTTACTTTTTAGACGGGGTCCATGGACTAGAACACAATAACTTTTTTTAGAAAACTGCCATAAAGCAGTTTTTATTGCTATAATTTCTTTTGTTTTTTCTGTCACCAATCAATGGAATGCCCTATTATGGCTATATCAATATGTAAATGATGGCCTTCATATCATATCAATACCATAATAATAATTATAATGATATTATACGCATTGATGTGCAAGCATTTTCTTGCAGAAAATGGCACTAGCATAATGCATGTTCTTCTGCGGGGAAACATGTGAGCAGTGGTGGTGATACTTTTTTTATACGGAGGTCATTCTGTGCATGTTGCTGTTGCAGAATTTCATGACTGTCATAAATTGTCTTGCCTTTCAGATTTCTCCACCCTCAATCAGATTTATTTGAGAAATGTAGCCATGCGCCAGGTGCGTGTCACAGATGTTTTTGTTGATTCTGTGTTTATAATGGTTTATAGTCATGGGTTATCGTGATAAGGTCATCCAGCATCATATTGAAACTGAAATCGTAATCCTGTTGATGTCGATACAACTTTTGGAAGTAGTTCAATGACTTCAAACTGTTAGTCCACGATTGTCTAAAACAACACAGCAAAGGAGGAACAATAAACATGTATTAAAATGTAAACGAATACATTGCTGAGTCCAAAACCTCGTTCCAACAACTACACTGATCCTGAGGAGAAAAGGGGCAAGGCTATGGTTGGAGGTACTGAGAGATAAACAAGGCACTCCACAATAATAAAATCTTACACATATTTTGGTGAGTATGAATGATATCCAGTCGAACCTCTTTAGGACAAACACCAAGGGAGCGATGGTATTTATTCTGTGAGCTTAGCCTATTTTATAACCAGAGAATACAAATATATCTCCAATAGACATACGGATAGATTTCTTCTACAGCGAAAGATTCTAAGCCACACCGACTCATTGACTCGTCTCGTATGAAACAATTGAGTCACTAGAGAGATTCTGCAAAACGAAAATGCGTACAAACTTTCGCTCTACATCATGAACTGCGAAACTTCGCACCTTTGGACGCGAAACTTGCAGGGAACGCGAAATGAACTGTCGTAGGAAATTTCGTGAGATCGGGTCATGGCGTAGACCCGGGTGCTCGAATCAGAAACGATTTGACAGGTGTGGAATTTCTCATCTGTAAATCTCAATAATGTCAGAATATACTTTTGGAGAGGCGATGGAACAGGGAAGAGAGTCTGGCTTGACCCACCCAGCAGGAATTCAGAACCTGGGTGCGCTACAACACAAGCTACAGTACGCAGTAAAATTGTCGTATTTCCTTCGGATTTTTTATTTGAAAATTGGGTGCTCGAATCAGAAACAGCGAACTCGTCAGATCGTCTCCGATTCAAGCACACGGGTCTACCATCGTCTACGCTTGGTGTGGCAGTTGAGGGCAGGGAGTAGTAACTTACTACTTCATTTTTGAGAGCAAGATGGTCAGTGGAGCCGCAGATTCAGCAGGTCTTTGGCAGCACCGTACAGGAGACCCATATCCTCGAATCAAGGACCCAGCAAAAAGTGGGTCGCGAGTATTTCAAAAAGCGTTTACCGGGCAGCGCTGAAATTTGGCATACCGTTAGCGGGCCGTATGTTGATGGTATTTGTGAAAACTAAACGAAATCGGAACAAGTTTAGGTACAATTTCAGGGTGTTTCTGTTTTGGTACCCTGTGTCTCATTCGAGCACCCGGGTCTACGTGCACTTGGCCCGCGCAAACTACGAAAATGTGCAGAACGCAAAGTTCGTGCAAAACTTCGTACACACTTTCGCAAGGACTGTCGCGAAACTTCGTTCGAATTTTCGTTTTGCAGAACCTCTCTACTGAAAATTTCTTTAGCAACATGACGGCAACTGAAACAGCAACAGAGAAAGTACGATACATGTACTCCACATTCTTACAGGTACTACAAACAGATTGCAGGTCGTAATTCTTGCTTTGGCGGCACGAAACTATATTTGGGGCAGTGCAATCTCGGCGGTACTCACAAATTAAACAGCCCCGACTTGAGTAGACAAATCCAATCATACAAGTACGAGATTTTCACGAGACGAGACTGCACCCATTGGCTTGCTTCGTATGAAACAAACAAGTTACTGAACCTCTCCACAATAGAGATTTCCCCTGATATGCGAATTTATTTTGCAAACTCGGTCAATTGGTACTTGAACCTTTCCCTCCAGATTGGGAACTGCCAACGATAGTATGCCACTGACCAGTGCCTTACTTGTAACGTACCAATGTAGAATCTACAATGAATATGAGTATTTCGACAACACATCTAACATAAGCCTTACCGTCAAGAAGTTGAACTCGCGTTCTTCGCACACTGTAGACAAGGCCAAAGAGATAAAAATGGATCTAAATCCGAATAAAATCAGCACACGTTTCCGTAAATGAAAGGTGAACATAAGCAAATGAATCGAAGGAAACCGGTCAACTTAGAGATCACCTGTCATCGAGTATTCCGTAAAAGGACGCCTCGCAGCTCGGCAGCAGAAAAGCAAAATTTAGAAAAGAGATCCTGTCAACTTTTCCATTATTTATTGCATTCCGCCCCAAAATCAGCACACTTTTCCTGAATGAAACAGTCAACACAAGCAAATGAATCAAAGGCAACTGGTCAACTCACCTGTCATTGAGTAATATTCCGCGAAAGGAGGTCTCAGCAGCGCCGAAACGAAATAAGCCAGGCCATGAGACGAAATATCCGAAACAGCTCATGCAAGAAGCAGTTCCAAAGAAGGAAGTAGTTAGTTCCTCGCGCATGCACATCCGAACACGGATCCGCGGACTGCATGCACTGAACACAATGTCTGCCGTGCACGTGCACAGCACACGGCTACCACGCGTTGGTAGATCTAATACCGAGCACCTTACGTAGAGACTTACGTAGCCTAAGTTTTTTTTTTTTTTTTTTTTTTTTTTTTTTTTTTTTGACAACTGTCGACACTGCATTTATTCGCACAGCAGAAAAGCAACCAACAGAAAATCACGGAGTCATAGCAAACAAAACAAGATCATCGGATAATAAAAAGTGTGGCTAGACACGGCTACTCCGCAAGAGTCTCAGTCACGCAACTGACAGTCGTTGACTGCCAGCACAACAGGAGTGGCAGCATCCAAACGACTGCGGTAGGGAGAAGCACGGTGACCACGGAGGCTCATGTTGCAGGATCTAACCAAAGCAAAGGAGACAAGAGAGCGGATCCAGGACATGACGGAGGAGTAGGGTTCATGCCGCTTCTCCGAAACCATATGGCCAAGACGCTTCAGGAAAGCGTGGGCTACCTTGCCGCACCCACCAGATGCACTGAATACCAGTGGGAGAAAGGAAGCATGCTCCACCTCCCTGACGCGTTCTTCGTAGGCCCTTCTCTTCTGCTGTTCGTGCTTGGCATAGGTGGACGCGGGAGTTGAGGAAGTGTTCGAGCGCGCATGAGGGTTAGTGAAATATCGAGCACCTTACGTAGAAACTTACGTAGCATAGCGATGTCGTTTTTTCTGCCATGTGAACACAATAATAGAAAAGCTGACAGGATCGCTTTTCTAAATTCAAATGCGAAGGACTAAAGGGACGCTGGTCTAGGAGGGCGGCAGTTTTTGCACCATGGCAACCAGGAGTGCGCGCACGCGACAGCCACCAGCGCAAAGCGGTGTAGGCTGCGGCGATCCGGAGAGCAGGGAGAGCGAATGAGACACTTCGCCGTGACCCAGGTGAGCGGCTGAGCGCATACATCTCGTAACTCAAAGACAGAGTCAGTGCAGAAGCGAAAAAAGCACTGTCTTGAATGAACAAGACGTTGGATTAGTTCCTGAAAGTCACTCTACTTGGATTGGTTGGAACTAGCTTCTTTGCTAACTGTAATGATTTTGTTGAGGAGCGGTTTGAATTCGTTACTTTTCACGACAGCCTGACGCCAGCCTGACTTCTGGCTTGCAGTAGAACTCTCCTTCCGATCCTGTCAAAGGTCTAAGATTTGAAAGAAAAATACTCCAACAGTGATATTATTATTCTATACATCGCTTGTGGAAGGAAAGGGCGAGTGCTGGCAATTGTTGTGTCATGTACTGACATAAGGAAGTCGTTTATTTTACAGACAGATGAGTGTAGATATAGTGAAGAGTCAGGGAGGCCATGCCCAGCAGAGCATGGTATCGTGCGTAGCACGGGGGTAGTGAGAGGTCACGTACCGTCTATACATGGCGACAGGCAGGGGAAGGACTATGCCGTGAATGGGTGAAAGGATAACATGATACAGGATAGGACATCTCCCCCTTTTTGAAAAAAAATTAAAGAGAGCAAAAACACAACAGCTGGGGAAAAAACTGTTATGGAGAAAAGGCAAGACAGATACATGTACGGGTTGTACATAGCCGGGCACATAGAACAGAACTATGCAATGTGCGGGAGAGCAATAGCAATAGCATGAAGCCAGAGAGAGTTATATGGTAGCGATCAATCTCTGCGGTGGCTGGATGTTGTTGCGAGCACGGAGAGTTGGCTGTGACGTAGGCACAGGCTGTTGTTGCGGGACTAGCGCGGCCGGTGGTACTGCTGGCACCGGTCCGGGAGGAGTCACTGGCTGGAGCAACTTCACTGCACGGCGGTTTCGGCGCAGAAGACCGGATGAGGTGGCGATGTTGTAGGAGCGATCGGTGAGTTGCTCAACCACTGTACCCTCGCGCTTGTCGTCGACCCACACTTTCGCTCCCAGTGGCAGAGGGGAGAGCGACTTTGCTGCGAAGCGTTGATCGAAGTGATCTTCTTGCCGATGCTTAGCCTCCTGCTCCTTGGCCCGGAGAGCGGTGATGTCTGGCCAGGAGGGTTGCAGGAGATCAGGTGGGCACGGAAGATTCGTGCGGAGCCTGCGGCCGTACAAGAGTTCGGCGGGCGAATAGCCGTTGGCCAGGGGTGTGGAGCGATACGCTAAGAGGGACTGCTGTAGATCACCTGGCGCACGGATGAGTCGTTTGGCAGTCTGCACAGCGCGTTCTGCTTCGCCGTTGCTTTGAGGGTGCTTCGGGCTGCTGGTCCGATGCGTGATGTTGCACGACGACATAAACTGTGCAAAGGCGTCGGAAGCGAACTGTGGCCCGTTATCGCTGACGAAGATGTCCGGATAGCCGTGGGCAGCAAATATGCTCTTCAGATGAGTAATGACGGCCCGTGACGTAGTCGATGAGAGACAAGCGACATCAATGTAACGGGAGAAATAGTCGACAGTAATCAGGTACTGGCGGCCGTCGACATCACAGAGATCCGATGCGATACGCTGCCACGGACGCTCGGGGAACGGAGTTGTCTGAAGAGGCTCTGGAGACTGATGACGCTGCTTGATACAGGTAGTGCACTTGGCGGCGTACGCCTCGATGTCGGCAGAGATACCTGGCCACCATGACGAGAAGCGGGCACGGGCTTTACTCTTCGTGGCACCTTGGTGACCATCGTGCAGCTTCTGGAGGATCTCAGGCTGTAGCACGGACGGAACAACCAGGCGAAAGCCGTGGCACAATACACCTTGCATGTGAGACAACTGGCCTCGCTCACGATGGAACGGCTTGATGTCGTCAGGGACGGTAGCAGGCCAGCCATGGATGACGTAGCGCATCACACTGGATAACACGGGATCTTCAGACGTAGCCTTGGCTAGGTCGGCGAGAACGGATGGACTTGTGAGATCTTCGGCAGTGGTTGATAAAACCATGCCGATGTCGTCTTGCAGAACGTTGTCAACTGATGCCGATGCTGGCGCTCGTGAAAGCGTGTCAGCCACCACCAGATCCTTGCCGGGAACGTGTATGGCTTGGACTTCGTACCGGAGGAAGCGGAGCAGCATTCGTTGGCATCGGATGGGGACCTTGTCCAGGTCTCTGGTGTTGATCAGTGGCACTAGCGGCTTGTGGTCCGTCTGCACGATGAACCTGGGAGCGCCGAAGAGGTACTGGTCTAACCTCTCGCACGTCCACACCGCTGCGAGGCATTCCTTTTCGATCTGCGCGTAGCCTTGTTCCGTCTTGGTCAGGGAACGGGAGGCGTAGGCTACTGGGCGCCAGTCGCCATCGTGCTTCTGGAGCAGAACACCACCAATGCCATAGCTGCTGGCATCGGCACTGACCATGATGGGACGCTTGGGGTCATAGTGCACTAAGCACGGGGCTGAAACGACGAGCTCTTTCAGCCGACGGAACGCGTCCTGCTGCGGGGAGTCCCAGAACCAATCAGTGTCGGTGTGCAGGAGCTGACGGAGGGGCGCTGAGATCGTAGCCAATTCCGGGATGAATCTGGCGACGTAGGTGAAGAGACCTAAGGCACGGCGAAGCTCAGGAACATTCGTAGGCTCCTTGAGGTCGTCAATGGCGGAGACTTTGCTGGGGTCGGGTTTCACACCGGACCCGCTGACGATGTGTCCCAGGTACTTGACTGACGACTGCTTGAGGTGGCATTTGTCGGGGTTCAGAGTGATGCCTGCGTCGGCAAGGACCTGGCGCGTTGTGTCCAGCCGGTGGTCGTGTTCAGCTTCGTTAGCGGCGTGGACCAGAACGTCGTCCATGAATACCTCGGAACCTTTGACGTGGGAGAGGAAGTCCTGCAGGCGTCGCTGGAAGATTTCCGGTGCAGAGGTTATACCGAATGGCATCCGGAGGAATCGGAACCGACCCACAGGCGTGATGAACGTGGTCAGCTTGGATGCAGACTCCGTGAGAGGCACTTGCCAGAAGCCGCTGTTGGCATCCAGCGTGGAAAAGACAGTAGATCCGGCGAGCCTAGCCAGTGTGTCCTCAACTGTCGGAAGAGGGAAGTGCTCGCGCTTCACGTTGTCGTTCAGCTTCTTTAGGTCTACGCAGATCCGTACGCGACCATTAGGTTTACGAACCGGCACCATAGGAGAGCACCAGTCAGAGGGACTCGTTTCCCGGACGATGATGCCCATTTCCTCCATACGTGCGAGCTCTTCTGTGACCTTGTCCTGTAGAGGCAGAGGCACACGGCGGGCAACACCACAGTGGTACGGCGTGGCGTCGTCCACGAGCTTGATATCAGCTGGGGGCCCAACCATACAACCGATGGGCTGTGCTGGCTTGCTGGTACACGATTCTGCTGCATCTAAACGCTGGATCAGGCGAAGTCGGAGGCAGTCTCTGCGACTCAACAGGTTGGTAGATCCAGGACCATCGATAACTACGATCTCCATAGAGAACAGTTCACTCTTGTGCATGGTGTCTGCAGTGAACTGACCCTTGATGGATAGAGGTGCACCAGATGGACCAAGGAGTTTGGTAGTGGATGGTGTGAGTACAGGGCGTTGTACGAGATTCTGATACGTGGAGTGCGTGATACATGATACATCTGCACCTGTGTCGATCTTGAATATCGACCATCTTGAATATCAAATTTGTCGAGCAAACAGGCAGACTTACTGACCAGGCGTCGCTGGACTGGGAAGGACTGGCGTTGGATGACAGCTCTGCAACACCACCCATGAATGGCGACGGGGACGCGAGCGATTCATCTTCGACAGCTCTGGCACCACGCGTGGTTGCTGGAGTGGAAAGACAGACGGCGGCGAAGTGGCCCTGCTTGCCGCATGAATTACACTTGCGACCAAACGCAGGACACGCACAACGGTTACTCTTGTGCGAACCAGCGTGGCCACACCACGGACATGTTGAAGCTGCAGTGCCGCTCTTCCTCTGCGTGGACGGCGTTGGTGCAGGCTTCGACGGAACGCCGCTGCGCTGGCGGCGACTCCTTGCATCTTGCTGCTTTCCTCCAAAGCGGGATGCAGCATTGACCTGCGGCCTGGCGGCTTGCGCTGCAACGTCTCCGGAAATTTTCTCGGCCTGCCTGGCCCTGAGAACTGCGTCCGTGAGGGTGAGTTTTGCGGGCTCAATCAGCTGCAACTCCTTGGCGACTTGACGATCCAGAATGTGAGCCACGAGGCGATCTCGAATTCTGTTGTCCTTCTGGTCACCAAAGTCACAGAACTTCGCTGCTGCGTGAAGTTTCCGAACAAATTCTTCCACGGACTCTCCTGGAAGATGGACGCACTGTTCGAAGATGGTCCTCTGGTGAAACACGTTCAATGCTGGCGTAAAGTAAGCGTCCAGCTTCGTCATGACCTTGTCATACTTGTCCTCGTCTCCAACGGTGTCGAATACCAGTTGATCGAAGACAGTTTCGGCGAGTAGAGCAACGTAGAGATTTGCACTTTCTCGTCTTTCGCGTTGAGCTCTGAGGCGAGGCGATATCTCGCAAACCGGCGTTTCCAAGCCGGCCAGGCATCTGGAATGGAGAAATCAAAGTCTGCAGGCGGCGCGAACTTGGCCATTTCTACTCGAAGTGTAGACCTGGTTGACTAACTTCTGACACCATGTTGTGTCATGTACTGACATAAGGAAGTCGTTTATTTTACAGACAGATGAGTGTAGATATAGTGAAGAGTCAGGGAGGCCATGCCCAGCGCAGCAGAGCATGGTATCGTGCGTAGCACGGGGGTAGTGAGAGGTCACGTACCGTCTATACATGGCGACAGGCAGGGGAAGGACTATGCCGTGAATGGGTGAAAGGATAACATGATACAGGATAGGACAGCAATCACTCAGTCTTCGCAAGTAGAGAATGTCCCTGCTGATAACCAGCTGAGAGACAGCTATTCTGTGCTGTGAAACGAAGGAACGATTCTTGAAGTGGAAGAACAATCGTACATGTACTAGATGTGCTGATCTACTTGTATGCAATGTCACCCACAGTGTGTACAAACCTGTAGGCTAAAGGCTAGTAAAGCCGGTGTGACACTGGGGTTTTCTGGATCTTCAAAGCACCAGAAGTAGTATGTGTACTATTGAAAGCGCCCATTCCGTCTTGGAGGTGTGCATCACATTGACATTGTGCATGCGGTCTTTTACTAGTACATGTGTTTGGTCAGAGTCTCATCTGTGTGTGTGTCTGTCTCTCTGTTTGCTTGTGTGTCGGTGTGTGTGTGTGTGCGCGTGCGCGCGCATATGTGCTTATATGTCTTCATGTGTGAGCAGTGTGTACTTTGAATGTGCCGTGCACAACTGTTTTGTGTGTGTATGCGCTTGCAATTGCCTTGCATGCGCTTTGAACATGTGTTCATGTACGTGCTCCGCAGGACTTGTGATTTTGCCTGACCTTTGATTGATTGATTGATTGATTGATTTTATTTTACTTCGCAAGTTCAAACGGGTTCCTGGCCCAGTTATATGAAAGCGAAGGATAGAATTTGCCAAAATCCTAATGAGCAACAGCATAGGCAATATTATCATAGAAGTGGAGTACTATGCGAGCGAGAATACTGAGAAGAAAGGAACATGTCAGAACCTGACGAAACACAACCTATTTCAGGCATACATAAGGAAGGCAGGCTAGCTTAAAATCTTGCAATCTGGATACGGTGCGCACCTCTCTAGGCAAACTGTTCCACAGCAATGCTCCTGCGGTGGCGAATCTCGTTTGGCCACACCGACTGCGAGCTGGCTGGCTGAGCAGACCATTGGCATGCTGATGGCGCGTACTTCTGCCGCTGCATGCTGCTGGTTTGAGAAGCTGGGCTAGAGCAAGGCTAGTGGAGTCATTTAGACAACGCCAGATGAAGATCAGGAGCTTTTGTTTGAAAAGTTCAGTGACGCGGTAAATCGAGTTGGCAGCCAGGAGGGGCTGCATCGCGGAACATGGCGGGCTGCCATCAATGCATCGGATCGCCCGGTTTTGCATGGCTAGCAGACGCTGAAGTTGGGTCACGCGGAGGGCTGCAGAGAAGCTGCAGGCACCATATATCATATCCGGCATGACAATAGCCTTTACATATACCTTGCGCGAGCTGCGGGAGAGGCATCGACGGGCTCGCCACAAGGCGCCTATCTTCCTCGCAACTTTGGTCACTATGGCGCTGACGTGTACATCCCAACTCAGGCGGTTGTCAAGAAAGACACCAAGATACCGCGCAGACTTCACTATCGGTAGAGAGGTATCGCAGCACACGATAGAGACCTCAGGCCCGGCATGTTGCGGTGAGATAGTCATTACCTGGCTTTTGGAGGCGTTTAAAATTAGGCCGCGTGACTTAAGCCATATGGCGAGATCAGTGACAGCTGAAGAGACGGATTTGGAGACTTCCCCAGCGGAAGCTTTTGAATCATACAGAGCAATGTCGTCTGCGAATTGCACGCTGGGTATTGGCGATGAGACCGATTTCACATCACGGGTGTAGACGTTAAAGAGAACAGGCCCCAAGACGGAGCCTTGGGGCACACCACAGGTGCAGTCAAGAGCACGACTTGTGGCCGAAGCGACTGTAACTTGCTGCCTGCGATCTGTCAGGTAATTCGCGAACCACTTCAGGGCGACACCAGAGATACCAACGTCAAAAAGGTCTTGGATGAGGATACCATGCCGGACTTTGTCAAAAGCCTTGGACATGTCGAGGAGGCACAGCCCAGTTACCAGACCACTGTCCTTCGCCTTCTGCAAGCTGTCCGTGAGAACACAGAGGGCATCCTCAGTGGAGCACTTCTTCCTGAAAGCAAACTGAGAATCAGGTAGGGCATTACTCAAGTCTAGATGGCGAACTAGCTGACGCTGCACCACTCTCTCCAACAGCTTTGAGACAACTGGAAGGAGGGAAACAGGGCGATAATTGGTGGGGACTGATGGGTCCCCGGTCTTGTAAAGCGGTACAACGGTCGCCAGCTTGAACGCCAAAGGAACCGTGCCAGTACGGAGGGAAGTGCAAAACAGTACTGCTAAAGAGTATGCCAATAAATCGGAACACTGCCGCAATAGCGAACCCGGTATGCCGTCACTTCCCGTAGCTTTGCGAGCATCTACCTTTGAAACCAATTGGACTGCCTGCCCTGGCAAGGGACTCTTATTGCCTAGCTTCTTGTTATGGCGGCATCAACAGTAGCACGTAACGCCACTCGACCTGTCGTTGCTTCACAGCTGCTGCTTTCTTGCTCCCGCTGTATCAGTTCGGCGTATTGCCCAGCTGCACCGTGTAGCCGTGTTGTGAAACAGCATACCGGTGCTCCCTGCTCAGTAGCTGTTGTCAGTACCAGGAACTTACTTGGTGAGTGTAGCGGACACAGGTAGTGGCGAGTACACTGCGTCGCTGGTGACACACCGTCACTGGCAATGCCCCGCGTCACGCAGTGCAGCGCGTCACTATTCCGCTCCACCACGTGTCACAAACGCAGCGTTGCAAGGGCTGCTAGCGCAAGTGCAGCGTCTCCAGCATGCTAGCAGGAACAGCGCAGCAACAGTGGCGGAGCACTGAGCCCGGAGCAGAGGTCCCGATTGGCTTCCGCTTGTCATATGCTGTGCGCTGCGATCGGGTCGTTGCTCAGCACCATTTTAGAGGGTTTGGAAACGTGCCTCTAATCACGCGTACAGCAGACAATGTTCTTTTAACAACTAACTCCCAGTATCGAGTCAGCGAGAATCGGTATATTGCTCACAGGAAATGGCAAGGAGATAGTCCAACGAAGGAAGAATTCTACGTGCAGAGACAAACCACAAACTACTGCCAGAAGTCCAGAAGTGGAAAAAGCGAGAAGAAGAAAGCCTGAGCCGACTTTCAATGCCCGAGCTAGATCCTCGTAAAGGATACTTGGTGGAACAACAACAAAACACATGTATACAAATATGGTAGAGTACATAAGCATGTAGCAGAGTTCGCAGGAAGTGGTACATCTGCGCAACGTTCCGAGGGTCATGCGTAGCATGGTACTCTACGTAGCCGACAATGGCAACATGATAAAGGCTACATCCTGTAAACAAAATGTTGCCGCGCAGAAGCTTGAGAAATGTACAAAATTACGAAATCGCGGAACGAAAGATAAATCGCAAGAAATCCGTGCAGGCACTACAGATACTCCCCCGCCAGTGTACAAGCAGTAGCGGGACACGATAAGAAAGGGAAAGACACGGAAAAGGAAAAGCCGAGAAAACATTAAACAGAAAAATGAACGCGCCGAACAAATGGTTTAGCAGCAGCAGAAAGGGGAGTGCCAGGAACAGCAATGGAAGAAGCAACCGCAGCACTGAGACTGGCAGCTCCATACGCGGGTTTCACGCGGTCAATGGAGATAGTGTCCTCTCGACCATTCAACTCAACCACCAGAGACTTGGCCGAACGGGAAAGAACACGATGAGGACCGGTATATGGAGCTTGGAGTGGCTGACGGTGTCCATCAACGCGGACGTAAACATGAGTGCATGTGGAGAGGTCAGCACTGACAAAAGGGACCGGTCGGGCCTGAAGGCGAGTGTCAACCTGAGCTGGTCGGATAGAAGACATCGTGTCCCGAAGACGCGCAACATATTCAGCAGTAGGCACCCAGTCGTCGTTGGGAGTGGGAGCGAGGAAGTCGCCTGGGAGACGGAGCGTTGAACCATAAACGAGCTCGGCAGAGCTGCAGCCGAGATCAGTCCGGAGAGATGACCGGATACCGAGGAGAACGAGAGGCAGTGCAGCGACTCACTGGTGCGGCTGTGGTTGCGCTTTGATGGCGGCCTTCAGTTGGCGGTGGAAGCGCTCGACTAAGCCGTTAGCCTGCGGATGATAGGCAGTAGTACGACAGCGATTAGTACCAAGAAGATGCATTAGCTGCTGGAAGAGAGCCGATTCGAAATTCGAACCACGGTCAGTCGTGATGACAGACGGCACGCCAAAACGAGCAACCCATGTCGACACGAATGCCATGGCAGTGGTCTCTGCGGTAGCATCGGTAATGGGCACGGCTTCGGACCAACGGGTGAAGCGATCGACACAGGTCAATAAGTAGCGGAAGCCCTTGCAAGCCGGTAGCGGGCCGACCAAATCAATGTGAATATGGGCGAACCGTTGATCCGGAGGAAGGAAACGGGCGAGTGGGCTCCGTGTATGGCGGTGAACCTTGGTCCGTTGGCACTCGGGGCAAGTACGAACCCAGTGCTGGATATCACGCTGCATGTGTCGCCAAATGTAACGCTGAGCAATCAGGCGGCGGCTGGCTTTGATGCCGGGATGTGAGAGCCCATGCAGGGAGTCGAACACCTGGCGACGGAAGGCCACAGGCACGTACGGACGTGGTGTGCCAGTTGAAGTGTCACACACCACTGGACGGCTGGACTCGGGAACGGTGACATCCTGGAATTGCAGAGTGGTATCTGAAGCAGAACGGAGACGCTGTAGGTCAAGGTCCGTGGTTTGCGCAGCAGTGAACGCGTCATAGTCCAGTGGCCGGACGAAGAGGGAGTCCACTGAGATGGAACGGGACAGAGCATCAGCAACACAGTTTTCGGTGCCGGAGATGTGCCGGAGATCAGTGGTGAATTCGCTGATGTAAGCCAAGTGCCGGCATTCGCGGGGTGAGCGCGTTGGCGAATGTACACGTATCACATAGATCAAGGGCTTGTGGTCCGTGAGGATGAAGAACTCCCGACCCTCGAGACAATGCCGAAAGTGCCGAACGGCATGATACATCGCGAGCAGCTCACGCCCGAAGGTGCTGTACCGCGTCTCAGCAGGCTGGAGAATACGGCTGGAGAATGCTAGGGGCTGCCATGTGTCGTCTACCTGTTGTTGGAGGACGGCGCCAATGGCAACATCCGATGCGTCAACGGCAAGGCTGAGGGGAGCATCAGCAACGGGATGAATGAGTAGCGTCGCCTGTGCTACAGCGTCCTTGGTGGCCTGAAAGGCGAAGAGTGCCTCAGGAGAGAAGCTGAGTGCAGCGTTGGCGGGCTTGGCCGAGCGAAGTAGCAAGCAGAGAGGTTGAGTCAGCGCTGCGCAGTGTGGGACAAATCGTCTGTAGAAGTTCACAAAGCCGAGGAACCTCCGGAGTTGACGAACAGAGGTAGGCTGCTCAAATGCTTGAATAGCAGCAACACGATCGGGCAGCGGAGCGATGCCAGCCGGAGAGACATGATGCCCGAGGAAGTTGAGACTCGACTTGGCAAACTCACACTTGTGCGGCTGAATGAACAGGCCGTGCTCTGAGAGACGCTGAAATAGCTTTCGGAGATGTACACGATGTTCGTCGAGAGAATGACTGGCGATTAGGAGATCGTCAATGTAGCCGTAAACGAACGGCAAACCGCGGAGGACTTGGTCAAGGAAGCGCTGAAAACTCTGTGCCGCATTACGCAGGCCGAATGGCATCCGAAGATACTCGAACAGGCCGAATGGCGTTGTGATGGCAGTTTTCGCGATGTCGTTAGGATGAACGGGCACTTGATGGTATGCCTTGACCAGGTCGAGCTTGCTGAAGACCGTGCAGCCAGCAAGGTTAGCGGCGAAATCGTGAAGGTGGGGAATCGGGTAGCGATCAGGCTCAGTGACGGCGTTCAGGGCGCGATAATCGCCACAGGGGCGCCAATCTCCGGACTTCTTCTGAACCATGTGCAGAGGAGAAGCCCAAGGACTAGATGACGGCTGGATGATACCCTGTTGGAGCAGAACGTCAAACTCAGCGCGAGCAGCTGTGAGCTTGGCTGGTGACAGACGACGGGGGCGAGCAAACTGAGGTGGGCCGTGGGTGGTAATCACATGCTGAATGCTGTGCTTTACGGAGCCCAGAGCAATATTGGCCTGTGGCAGCAACTCAGGAAAGTCACGTAGAACAGCAGTGCCCAGAGAGTCAGTAGCAGGCGTAGCGAGGACAGGACTGATGGGCACAGTAGAGTCAAGGAGACCAGCAGAGGAAAGTTTGGTCCGGGAATCATGCAGACAACGATGCTCCAGGTCGACATGTAGGCCGTGGTGGGCTAGGAAGTCTGTCCCCAGGATAGGCGAGGTGACGTCTGCAACGACGAAAGTCCACGTGAAGTTACGTCGGAGGCCGAGCGTGAGCGAAAGCGAACGTTCACCAAAGGTGCGAATAGGTGTGCCATTAGCAGCCTGGAGCTGCACCACCGATGGCGGGCTGGGCTTGTCACTAGCACGGGGTGGGATGACACTCACTGCCGCACCCGTGTCAATCAGGTACGACAGGGTCGTGGCGGGATCGCGGATGAACAGCAGACGGCCGGGAGCAATGGATGAGCCAGGGGTGATGGCCGCCTTCACTGCCTGGCTCCCCTGTTTTCCGACTGGGAATCCGTCTGCCATGTGCACCCCGGTCTGCAGTTGCGGGCGCGAGTGCCGAACTTGTCATGGTAAAAACACAAGCCTCTCTTGTCTTGGGCCTAGTCTTGGGCTACCACTCCGAGATGCAGAGCGGCTAGCAGAGCGGCTAGACGACCGCGAACGTGACAGGCGGTCAACGGCGGCAGTGAGCGCAGCAACTTGTGCGCGCAACTCGCTCATATCATCACTAGCCGCGGTGGCAGGCACTGGGGCGGAAGCCGGCATATTGGCAACTGTGGCTGGCCTGACCGAGGGAGGAGACACCTCCATAATGCGGTCCGCCATCTCCGCAACTTGAGCCAACGGTAGTGTGGCGGTCGAGGAGGCCAACACCATCTGGATGCCGGATGGCAAACGCTGAATGAAGAGCTCCCGAAGTAAGTTTGCATCCATTGGTGCGTTGCTCAACAATTGCTGCATGCGGCGCAGCAGCTGGCTGGGTGTCCGGTCGCCCAGCTCCTCCTGCGTCAGTAGCTGGCGTAGACGCTGCTGCTGGGAGGTCTCCGTGCGACGGATCAGAGTCGCCTTCAACGCGTCGTAGCACTGTTGAGCCGGTGGAGACAGGATGAGGTCACGGACCTCGACAGCGACCTCGGGCTCTAGGGCGCCGACGACATACTCGAACCGGGTGGTTTGCCGTGTAATGGCTCGTGTGGCGAAAACTGCCTCCACCTGTGCGAACCACAGGGCAGGGTCCTTGGACCAGAAAGGCGGCAGCTTGAGGCTCACAGCATTCGTTGGAGCCAGTAGAGCGCTGGCCGTAGGTGGTCGCGATGCAGCACGATGACTGGCAAGTAATGCGGCACTCGACGGAGCGGGGGTCTGCAGGGCCACAGATGGGGCGGCACTAGTGGCAGCAGACGGAGTGTTGCCGGTGGCGGGCGCTGGCTGGAATAACGGCGACGAACTAACGTCCAGCGGTATAGACATTGTGAAACAGACTCGACGAAGGCTCGGGAGACTGAAGAACGTTCAGGGTCACCAATTTAGAGGGTTTGGAAACGTGCCTCTAATCACGCGTACAGCAGACAATGTTCTTTTAACAACTAACTCCCAGTATCGAGTCAGCGAGAATCGGTATATTGCTCACAGGAAATGGCAAGGAGATAGTCCAACGAAGGAAGAATTCTACGTGCAGAGACAAACCACAAACTACTGCCAGAAGTCCAGAAGTGGAAAAAGCGAGAAGAAGAAAGCCTGAGCCGACTTTCAATGCCCGAGCTAGATCCTCGTAAAGGATACTTGGTGGAACAACAACAAAACACATGTATACAAATATGGTAGAGTACATAAGCATGTAGCAGAGTTCGCAGGAAGTGGTACATCTGCGCAACGTTCCGAGGGTCATGCGTAGCATGGTACTCTACGTAGCCGACAATGGCAACATGATAAAGGCTACATCCTGTAAACAAAATGTTGCCGCGCAGAAGCTTGAGAAATGTACAAAATTACGAAATCGCGGAACGAAAGATAAATCGCAAGAAATCCGTGCAGGCACTACACCATCCCTTACTTGTTGTAGCAATGTTCCCGCTACAATACTTACCCGGGTGTAGCCAGCAATGGACTGCGATCTAGTGTATCCATATTCTCCACGTGTACATTGGTGCTTGATGACATCATCAAGTCACTGCTTACGTCATCGAATACTAGGAGAGATTTCGCACAGGCTGTGTCAGCACTTGAAAAGTTGAAGAACATTCAGAGCTGCTCAGGGATCAAGCGCAGCTTTTTAAAGTCATCTACGCTGTCGTGCAAGTGGACAAGACTGGCGACCTGATCGTTGATCATACTCAGTTTCCGGATTTGAATTTGTTTGATGATATGTGCAATTCATTTTTCCGCACAAGAGGCTTTACTAGTACTTACCTGCGGAGGCATTGGTTGTGAGAGTTACCACCTCACCCTCGCAGTTTGGCGCTGCATCCCCTCTGAGATGAACGGCTGCTGAAAATGTTATTGCGTCTGCGTTGTTGTGACTGCTTTTGCTACGCTGCCTGCTCTTCTTGGCATTGCTGCTGCTACGAGTACGAGTTCGTACTGCAGTCTTCTGTCTTGGCAATTACTGCACTAATAAATAATATTGAAGTAATAATATTCACTGGTACAGTGGTAAGGGGCCGTCCGAGGTTACCAATAATATTTTCAAAACGAAATGTTTTCGTTTGTGGGTGGGTGGGTTTGATGGAGTTTCGTTTTGAAAATAATTATTGAATGCTGATGGAGAATGCCCAGTCACTTCTGGGTGTCGAAAATTGACATCAATATTTTATTGGAATTCGTTTTACCTGCAGAAAAGGTGGGTGGGTGGGTGGGGGCTGAAAAATACTAAAACTTTTCGTTTTGTAAAAACAATCGGTAACCCCGAAAAAGACATCATAGTCCGTGAGCCAAATCTCAGAATCGGCCGTTTTAGCATCGACCGTTGCACCCAGAGAGGGACAAATCGTCCTTCAGCACACCGCTTCACGATGGTATCCTGAAGCGATTTCCACTTGTTGGACAGTTCGAAACTGATCCAGGGAGGTCACAGAAGACGCCAAACATCCAACTTTGCTCACTGACAGCAGCGGCCATTTTCGCCTTCTTCGCTTGATTTTTTTGCGCTTGTTCACGGATTCTCATTTTTTGAAGCCATGAGCAGATACCACGAGTGCACATAACGCGGAAACCAGTGCACAAAACTAGATTCGAATTTTTTTGCCGCTGAGAATTATGAATCGGGATGCAAACCCGCGATATTCATGTTAAAACAAAATGGCGTCACGATTTATTGAAAGTGGTATAGTGGTATAGTTGGTGGTACGAGTGTTCAAAACCATTTGGACTTCATACTGTTCGTCTTCTTTTTGACATGCTCTCTTTCCATCGTCCTTAGCTTTTGTTTGTTGAGAGCTGTTTTGGCTTTCTCCTATACCTCTGGGGGATGCCAAGTGATGGTTTTGAGAGGCTGGTGATGGCTGTGAGCGAGAGTTTGCCGATCGGCGTCGTCCTCGCTAGCCATGAAAATACTAGTTACTGCGCACCTGGCAGATATCACAACACGTCGGAGCGTCCAGGAGCAAAGGAATCTTGGGTTTTCACTGGAATCTAGTTCCTCCAGCATCGTGTAGCCCACCGTCGGTGAATGGCGGTCCAGAAAGGTCGAACCTGGTCTTCTGCAGCATCTCGCAGTCCTGCGAGGCACACTGAATACGCCTCTCATGTATTCTACAAATAAAAATCACGAAGTAGTGGACTTTACAGTGATGAGTCTATCCTGTATGCTGCAAAAGACGCAGGAAATGTGACAGGTGTCTGTACACTCAGTGACTGGACGCCAACACCCCAGTCTTCTCCTGCAGGATCTGTTTGACATTGACATTATGCAGTAGGTCGGCATTGACCTGGTTTGGCAGCTATCGTAATAGTATCTGCCTGGTTGGATGTAGCAGGTTGGTGTTTGCTCGTCGTCCAGTCCGGAATTTTCTTGTAACTCACGGTGGAGTACGCGCAGGGTTTGTGATCATCCCTGTTCACTTCAATATTATCAAACACAACGTTCCCTTTGTCACTCATCTTATCCTGAGTACTGAATTTGCTGATAATATTGCACCACACTTGTCACAACCTACCGCCACTGCTGGCGGTGGCGACTGGTTCGTCAATGGCGGTGACCAGGCTGACTGGCTAGCTTCGAGACAGCGGCCTCGTTGTCAACCCCGCGGCAGCCTAAAGGTTGATTTTATCGATCCAGCCTCAGCGCCATGTTGACGATGCCCTAGTGACTGTGTGTCATGGATTGCCTTGCCATCAGCGGTCATTGCCGTCCACCTTGGTGCAGCCCTCAACAACTGGCTCAGCCCATGGGAGTCTCAAGTGGACAAAGTTGTTGCCAAAGTAGCTCAGAAGATTGGTGCATCGTGGTGTAGGTGAGCACATAACTAGGACTTCCCAGCGCCTATTTGTCCAGGCTGCGATACTATGTGACATGCTGTACTGCACATTCTTTTCAGCACTGCAAGGCCGGCAGCTGGACCGACTGCAGGGGCCGCGCACATGCAGGCCGCCTGTTGCCAGTGCAGCATTCTGGAACGTTCCTTCCTTCTGAGATCCGTGGAATAATAACTTTCTTTGCTTCAAAGCAAGTTGCTTACCTTTCTGTTGTGCTCCCAGTGTCCTTACAACAATAACCTACAGCAATGTTTCATTTTCCTTTCCATTCCCCAACCAATGAATACTACGACGTCGATTCTATTTCTGAATACTTTAGTGTTTGCCCGCGCACGCACGTGTGTGTGTGTGTGTATACCTCACTCGCCACTCGAAGTTCTGTTCCCCATCACTGGAACACTGCCTGTTCTTTCAGGACCTGCCATCATCTGCGGATGGGCATTCAATGATTGTATTGTGTGTGTGTTTCATTCAGAATCAGATCCGCTATCGTTGCTATAAGAGAAAATCTGTGGGTTCACATCCAGTGCATTTGTAGATTTGCGTGCTTTTCTTGCCACGGGCGCATACATGGGACATTGTGTGTGTGTGTGTGTGTGTGTGTGCGTCTGTGTGTATGGGGATATTGTCTGTATCGGCTTTTGGTACTAATGTTCAGGTCTGTGCTTGCATGTGTGAACATGAAATTGTTCGGTTCTGTGCATGCTATTGCTATGTTGTATATTGTTGTATGTATGTGTGCATTTCCACGAACAGTGTAGATGAGCGTGGAGAGTGCATTCATCCCTCATCAACCACTTCCCCTTGGGCTTACGAGAGTTTTTTCTGCGTACCTCTCATTTTTGTTTGTTTCTCTCTGATACTGTATTGATGCCGGTACCTGTACCTCCTCTATCTGCAGTCGCCTTTAACCTTCGGTCAAGTTAACGTTTATTGTGCTCTATTTATCGTGCGAATCAAAATAAACAATAATAACACAAGTCGTGCTAGAGTGACGACATGTGCGTGTAGTAGGGTTGATGCGATGGGACGTTATAATTAGGTGGAACAGAACACACATTGGGCAGATTGATTGGGCATCATTGATTGTGCTCAGTCTAAACAGTGGCATAATAATTATCTCCAGTGACAGACTGTAGCGGCTAGCCTCCAATGGGTAGCTGGCACTAGTCGCTCCTGCTTGTTTGACAGGTGCCGTCAGAACCCCTGTTGTGTCATGCTATAGATGCACATGCCCTATTCTGGGGCATACTGAGGTGCTTTGATTTTGTTGACTGCATGTAGACAGCATCCAATACTGGCAATAGTAGTACTCGTAGACCTTGGCTCTTTGTAGGTCAACCACCATCGCATGGATCGATCGGTGACTATGCACTTGGAGGTTGGAATAGCCCGCGCTGAACAGATCTTGCCATGGCCCAGGGAGTGAACTCGCTTACTCGACTATCCCGGTTTTACTTAACCAGCATGAGTGGTGCAATTTGTCCATACCATGTTGCGAGCTCACAGTTGTTTGGGCAGGTTTTGAGCTGCACCACGAAACAAAGCGAAATAACGGCGTGACTTTAGAGCAAGGAAGCGGCGAGACAGGACGAGACAGGCAGTAGAGATGTGTTCACAGCACGAGCAACCTCTCAAACCCTGCCGGTACTCCACAGTTACAAGAAAATGTCGGACTGGACGACGCGCCAATGCAAACCTGCTACATCCACCCAGGCAGATAGCTGCCAAACCAGACCAATGTCGACCCACTGCATAGCGGTATGTCAATGTCAAAGTTGACAAACAGATCCTGCAGGAGAAGACTGGGATGATATTGGCGTCCAGTGTACAGACACCAGTCACATTTCCTGCGTCTTTTGCAGCATACAGGATAGACTCATCACTGTAAAGTCCACTACTTCGTGATTTTTATTTGTAGAATACATGACAGGCGTATTCAGTGTGCCTCGCAGGACTGCGAGATGCTGCAGAAGACCAGGTTCGACCTTTCTGGA